ATGATGCTCATAGCACCTCTTGGAGTTATCTTCCATCAAAATTTTTAGGCTGCAATATATTGCGTAAGTTATTTTATTTACTGTTTTACTTTGGTCTTCGTCTTTAGTTCTTATCGGCTTGAATAAATCGGCTTTTGAGAATTACCAAAATGAAAAAAAAATTGTACGTCTCGTTGACGTTCTACATATAGACGGGATGTGACTCCTTTATCATAGTTCACTATAACTACTTGGGCTCATCAAAATTTTCTAATTTGGAAAAAACATGGTATTATGAAGATTACATATAAATCTATTGTAGAATTCCATAATGCTCGTCGCCAGGTTATGTCACTAGTAGCTAGGGATAGTACGGTCTCAGAAAATTAGCTTTTAAATAATATGTTAAAATATATAATCCATTTAATAAAATTGAAGATTATTACTTTTATGGTGACATTAATGATCCTGGAGATTAGCCTAGGTGGTAAGTTGCCATTGTCCTGTATATATTTTTTTTTAAAAAAAAACTAAAGCTAAATAAAAAAATCTTTTCGACTTTATTTGAATAGATCTTAACACAGAAATCTGTCGAGGTCTCTGAATTGAACAAATGAGTCAGTTGGTTTGGTCCTAAAATTCGAATTTGATGGTATATATATCGATACAGCAAAAATCATTCGACATAGTCTTTGGGATGGGTTCACTCAAAGTAGTGGAGTATTTACAATCGGTGAAGTAGCGAATACTAATGCAGGATTTGTTAGATCTTATCAAGGTTATATGGATAGTACTTTAGGTATCCCCTATTCCAAAAATTACAACCTTTATATATGGGAGGCGGTCAGTAGAAAAGGGGGATTTAATCGTGGAGCGCTGACCATCTTCTTACTCACAATCATCTCCCTCATACAAATTCATCGCTAATATCAATGCATTCCGTAAAACATACCTGGTACATTCTTCTCTTCATTATCTATCAAAGTTTGGAAATGAACGATTTATGCCTTTATTAAAGTCAAGGCATTAATCATCATCTCTAATTATGATGGAAATAATCCAAATAGAAATTTAATTATACAAGGAAATGGAAGATGGCCTGTTGATGACGTTTTAATTAATATTATAAGTTGTGAATAAAAGATTACTATTGATGAGTCTCATAATGTCCAAGTTCAAATTGACGGTGAACTAAAAGAACTTTATCCCGAGAAGGATTTAAAATGTCTTGGCATTTATAGACTTTAATCTAATTTTTATTTTTATTTTTTATAAAATAATTAAAGCATAAAAAAACTAAACTGAATTACCAAATTTTCATTATTTACGGTGTTAGGCCTGGAATTATATAAGGTCTTTCCTAAAAGAAATAATTTTAACGATCTTAGGTTACACATCATTTATAAATTACGTGATCACGAAAGCTTAGTATTCTTATTTTAATGTATATAACGTATTATGGTTATTCAAGACCAAACTTTAATGGATTTAATGTTTTAAAAATATATGCGGTTCCACATGAAAAATTAAAATAAATAGTTTCTTTAACAGCTCTAATTGTATATTGCCTGTTACTATACAAACTTGTCCAATCCCTACATAAACATCGCAATTAATGTTAATAAACTTTAATCCATGGATAGTAGTTTGATAAATAACAGTGGTTCTCGTTCAGTCTCTTGATCGTACTCTAAGAAGAATCCTTCCTTAGGAATAATTGAAGTAACTTCGGAATCCGTGGAATTGGCGTATCTATCATCCAATATTGGAATGGCAGTTAATATAAGGCTAAAGAGAATCCTAAGATTTAAGATATCTTGCACAAGAAATAAGATATTTCCGTCTTCAGCTCTTTATCAAAAATATTGTAATTACTTTAATTATTTTTTATAATTAATTTTTAAATAAATACTAAAATATTTATATGATTCTTATCGCTCGAAGCCAAAGCCAGAAGTATTTGTTATTGATGTTACACGGTGAAATCCTTTTATGAATTGTAATTTACAAAAATTCCAGCTTGATCAGGTGACAACATCAACATAGGTAGATTTGAAATCATTTTCTTATTTCCTGTTCTTAGTACTTTTAAGTCAGTAGATAATATTATTTCAGTATTTCCCAGCTCACTGATGGTTTATTGGGTGGTTTGATTTATTTTAATATTTTTAAGAATCCCGGGGTTAGTTATTGATGTGAACAAGCTGTATTTGCAAACAAACTGGAGTCATAATTATAGGCGGAGGATTAGTTAAAAATTATACAACCTAACTATTTTTTGAATTTGATGTTAACGTTAATATGCTTTAACGTATATTTTTTATTTGTTCTTCCCTGACAGGTCAAGGAATATCTCAACTCTGTTCTAATGATACGAAATTAGACATTTGAGTGGTCGAACTTTTTGGGAATTATTAACAAGCTCGATTATATCAAAGATTTGGTATTTTAACAAATTTTATTTTTTATTCAAATTGTTGGTTTGTCATATAAACCTTAATCAATTTAGGGTTTTGACGCGATTTGTAAAACAAGTTGGTGAAACAAGATACGGTGTTGAATGGCATGGATGTAAGCTCCTTTTTTTCCAAAAGTTAAAGTATTGGCTGATGAAATATTATAATCTACACTAATAAATAGATGGTTTAATCCACACTGATAACCTCAAGAAGCTTAAAGTTCACGCGGGAAAGACATTAAGTTATGTTTGATGTATGTTTCTCCAACACTTTTGATTATAACATTTTTTTTTGATTTTGAATTATAATAGTTCTTTATTTTTCCTGATAGAATCCACAGTTGGAACAACTCCTAGATAAGAATATGTGAAAATATATAATCCATTTAATAAAATTTAATATTGTGATCTGGAGATTAATGAAATATTGAATGTCCCTGTAATGAACTTTGAATTAATTAGATAGATCAATTAGTTAGTCAATTAATTCAATTTTAATGGTATACGTATCGATGCAGCAAAGCATTACAACATAGTTTTGTGATGCGTTCATTCAAAGTCGTGGAGAGTAATGTACATTAAATCAGTGAAATAGCAGATTTTAATGCGGATTTGTAAGATCCTATTAAGGCAATAGATTGTGCTTTAGAGTATATCCTATTCAAAAATTACAACCTTATATTCTTATCTCGGTATTAACATGCATGAAATAGAAATGCTATAAATGATGATGAAAATCTTTTTAATTATAATAGTGTATTAGAAACTTTCTTTTCATGATCAACCGGTAAGTGATGAATTTTTTTGAGTTGAGTTGTAAATATCTTTAGAATGTAAATTCATTCATTCATTCATTATTTTTAATTGTTGATTATAGAGATTTAACTATTTAACTTTAATTGTAATGCGTTGACCTTTGTCATGTTGATATATGGTAAACACTAATTTTTTTAAGTCATTATAGGTTTATAATTTTATTTAATATAATTTCTTAATTATATAGGTATTCTAATAATATATCAAGGAACTAAACAAGTATTTACATGATATCTCTCAGGAAATGATCCATTTAATCATGAAGCACTTGAGACATCATCTTACTCAACGTCTCCCATATCCTGTAAAGCATTATTTGAAGCATTCTTTTCTTTGCTATTTATCAAAGCTTGGATAGATGAACATATTTGTGATTAAGACAAGACATTATTCATCATAAAAATAACCAAATATATATTTAGTTATACAAGGAGACCCGTTGATAACGTTTTATTTAATGTTAATAAAAGTTTCTATTAATGGATCTAATAATGTTTCAGTTCAAATTGACGGTGAAGGATTTCAAATGTCTTGATTTATTTAATATAATTTGTATGGTAATTTATAACATAACACGGTTAAAAGGAACTAACTTACCCAGTTCGGAGCTGCGCCCAATACTGAAACTTGACCATAAAATATGGAAGGCTATCAAAAGGGTTCATATATTCAATCCTATTCTGATAAAAGTTCTATTGTTCAAACAAGCGACAATTTCAATTCATCCTATCTAACGAAATTGTTCAAATAATATTTTTTATTTTTTTTTTATTCATAAATTTTGCATTTTCAAATGAAATAGAAACGTTCATTGGATTATCCTAATAGGGTGGTATTTACTTTATTTATTTCTGATCTAATCCAAGGTTTTATTTTGAAAACCGAGTTATACAAGGGTCCGCTATACATTTAGTAAAGATATTTTATATTAAGTTCAAAAATAATAAAAAGTAAAATATAAATTAATAAATCTAAACTTTTCAACTAGAAATAAGATTTTTTCATTAGGGATTCCAAAACAAGAAAGATGATATTATATTATTTAAAATTATCAAATGAGAATTTGGAAATTTATTTTGATGATTTAAAAAGTGAATGCATTCATGGGTTTGTGATTTTGTCGTTTTAGTTTTCGTTTTATGATTCTTATAGAGACTTGAATTAATTCACCTAATACAATTTCACCATCTTAATAAACTTATTAAAAACATGTCATATTATTATTCACCTATAACAAATGTAGGGACTTTGCAACAAATCATATATACAAACATTAATCTAAACTTTGCTTCAAGCAAGATTGAAAAAGAGATTTGACGATGAGTTTTGACAACATAGGGCTCTAAAAAAAATATTCAATTGCAAATTATAACAGCCGGCACAATTTGGCGTCGTATTGTTTTTTTTGAATATGTAAAAAAAATTGCTACGCTGTTGGGCTTGGTAGCGTCGAACT